CTGGCTAATGCGTGAATCCTAAGTGCTGACCCTCCAGAAGGCCCAACTATACGGTAATTGCTGTCTCATTTGGTATGCTACCTACTTACAGGGAGCGCTAACCGATAACAGATAAGAACTGGTGGGAGAGTCACGTTAGAGTGCTAGGCAGTTCCCACAGCAACACAGTTGCAGGTGCGGAGTGGGAGCAGTCACAAAGGATTCCAAGAGCCACACATTGGAATAGGTCAACTAACTACAAGGAAAGACATCATGGATAGCGGATTAGTTGGGCCAGCAATTGTGCCTCTCCCGGAATCGTTTGAGTTCGACACAACGGCGATCACCACTTACATTGCCACGGTCCTCAACCTTGTACATACGCAAGATGCTTATGGTATCTTGGCTGGTGTTAATCACCATGGGAGACCAGTAATTCCAACCTTGGTATTTGGGCTTCCGCTGTCTGAGCTGCCTGATATTATTCTCCCCCCCCCCTCCGAATAACTTGCCAATATGGGTTCGTGATGATTGTGTCCTGGCGTTGAATGAATTGGAGAGCGACTGGGCCTGGGAGCCAGTTACTGCAGTTGATAAATTGACACTGGAAAGGTGTTCGATTGGAATAGAAAGTATGCAAGCTCTTTCCCAATGTCACTTTATTTTAACTAAGATCTAACTATGGAGCAGGAAGCATTGCCGGGGCGGGCAGTTTTGGGGGGTTTCTGAAGAGAACCTCCATCGAAGGGGAGGTCTATGGAATTACTGCAGCGCATTGTCTACCGGGTGGACTCACAGGCATGCCAGTTTGTTCCCCCTCAACACTCGAGGTTACGGGTCGTCTCAAAAGCCTGTTGAGGTATACCACCCTTGGAGAATTGTCCGACCGTGTGCACATTACGCCCATCAAGGAGGCCGAAGCCCACACAATACTAGGCAGATTCCAGTTCCATGATTGCCCAGCCGGTGTGCGATTTTGTGATCCTACCAACAAAATGGAGCCAAAGACTGGCCTCCTCAGTGGGGCAAACCTCGGGAGTATAGCCCGCTCACGCTTTGGACCCCACAGTGATCTCTTACACCGCTATGACCAGGAGCTCAGACGCAAATGCCTTCCTCATTTCTCTGCCAAGGTGTCATGGCTTACAAGGCTGGATTGGTTGATTTTTCGTTGTAATTGGGATAGGTATGTTCTTACCCTTTCCTCTCCATGGCCTGTATTTTGAATGTTGCTAACCTTTCGAAAATCATTCAGATATGGAGAAAATATCTACCAAGGGGACCGTATTTCCGATGTTGGGGATTTATATCCTGGGTTAAGCGTTCAAAAGATAGGAAGATCAACTGGGGTAACTTGCGGGAAGGTCAATCGTGCTACCCTCATACATTGGGACAACGGTGCACCAACACACGAAATTGCAATAATTGCACCACGAGGTAAACCCTTTGCGAGCAGTGGGGATCCAGGAGGCTGCGTGTTTGGGGTTGAGGATGGCCAATACAAAGCTGCTGGGTTGTTGATTGGGAAGGCTGTGGAAGCCAATATTGCTTTTGCAACTCCCTTGTACCTAATTTTACAGATGGCGGGGGATTACCATTGGGCGTAAGTGTACCAGGTCTGTTTTAGCTAGCGGTGGAAAGGAGAGAAGGTGAAATATCAATGACCCCGCTGGGGTTATTACACGTCATGCGCTACCACTTCCTTCTTGTCTCTCAAAGCCATGTGATATGCTGTCACCGCTCTGTATTCCCCGCTGCCCTGCTGTCTGACATGGTTCTTACAAATTGACCCCCCAGAGCGCGCAATACATAGAGCCAGCCAGAGTGCTCAGCTGACGGTGGGGGGTCCTGGTAACTCCGGGCTGCCCTAATAAAGGCGCCATCTGCCTGTCCAGAGAATCCCCTCTTATGGGGCCCGATGTGCATATCACCACTGTGTGTGGGGAGGGAATACAGAATGGGGGGTCTAGTGGGATGGGGGGTTGCGTGTTAGTTTGCTGAACCTTATACGCGGGTACATAGTATAATGCTCTTGTGTAGGTTGCTGGGCTCCCGCCTGAGTAGGCTCTGCCGATCTCATCACTGCTGTCCCAGAAGTGGGGAAGGGGCTGCCCCCCTTCTAGACATCTCGTAACACACAGCCATATCATTCAATACACCCCCCCCCCGGAGAGCCAAGGACTTTAAGGGGTTGAACAGACCAACCTATGTGTGAGGCGTCCTAGCCAAATCCCTAGGCGTGTTGCACCAGGGATTGTCCCCCGAGGCAATAGGGTACCGGCGACCGATCCTCTAGCGGAAATACGACGGGCTGGCTAAGATGTATTCGGAATACCTGAACACAACACAGAGCCCGGAACTCCTATCACTGAGAGGGCGTGCTTTCCGCTATGGGCGCTTATCAACATGTGTATTTATAAATACATATTGCGCCCCCCGCTGCCTATAGCACAATAGACCATGTCTCTATCGGCCAGACCCACCCGGTCCACATTTTATCTAGGGTCACCCGAAGCTCCTCCGCATTTGCAGAATGAAGCCTTTAGCCCATGAGTGGAATATCGGATGATAGGGTTGAGAGGATACTCGCGGAACACTCGGAACAGCCTCGGAATGTCGATAACGCTATGGGAATTGGTCCGAGAGCCCGAGATGAGATAAAGGTGAAAGAGCCAGAGCTGTGGGGAAGCTAATAGGAAACGCTCCCTTGAAACGTTAGTTATGTATGGCTAAGTAACCTGTTCATAAGGTGGCTGGATATAGGCAGGGGCCAGTGACCTCTACATAAAGGCATAATCTGGGCGGGCAGGATTACACATATGGTCGGATCCCTGGGGATATCAAGCGACCTGCAGAGGATGACCTCTACAGATGGATGAAAACGAGATATCCACAGTTCGCATATCATGGATACCCGAGCTGGAGATTGGGGCGAACCTGGAAATTATTATCCCGAAGAAAGACCCGCAGGGAAATGAGAGATACGCCCCCTTCATTAATGGGTCCGTTATCAACGAATACTAAATTGTAGCATTCTCAGGACATGCCAACGGCGATCAGCCACCTGGGGAACGGTATGTAGCGGGTCGCAAAGATAGTGCCCCCTACTCCCCAAACAATACAAGGACTCTCTGAAAAATCTAAAGGTATGTTTCCGACCGGCGAGAGCCCTTCCACCAGACTAAGGCTAATATGGTACAGGGCAATTTAGACCATGGGAGCTATAGGAATATAGGGGATTGTGGTTTGGGAATAGCGAAGGGGTTTAGGGCCGAGAGGCGGAAGGGTCAGTTATGGCGGGGGGTCGTACTTTCTACATTTACTTTCATTCACAGTGATTTACGTTCTCATAAGGGGCTATCCTAGGGCTCTGGTTTTAGTCCAGGCTGTGCTTGCACAATATACAGGGCGAGGCCACATGGAAGCACTATCCTTACAAGATGTGGTTAATGCGCATGGTGTAGTAACACCTCATTCCTTTCCCCGATACCGAGTGACACCATGTGAACCTCCAATTGCTGCCCGCCCAGCTGACCGACAAACCTACTAACAGGAATCCACCCCCCTCGAGCCCGCAATACATGGCCCAATACGCCTGTAAGACCTATTCACCATAATCCCAAGAGTACAATGTACGATACAAGTAAATTGCTGTGGCGCTTACGTAATTTTAGCGCTAACCTAAAGTAGACAAAAGCTTATTGGGTGACTATATTAACCACTATATTACACCGGCCTGCCTTTGTAAGGTGATTCTTGTTGCAGTTTCTTAAAACATTTTAAATTGAGGCGACTTGATGAGCAAACCAACATAAAATACCCTGATGTTGTTTGGCGCAACCCGGTTTGCCTTTCAAACCGTATTCTAGGATGTTTACAAAATATATTTGCGAGTTCAGTTTACTCAGGTTGCCTTAAATAAGCACAAAGCTCAAGTCAGTAGCCCTTCTGGCCAAGAGGCCCAGATTCAAATCACCTGATAAAATTAACACTTCGTGATAAAGTGTCAACCTTCATCACTATCTTATTGTTATTTCTATAATCCTGTATTACCCCACTTATCAAGCATCAGGTATTGAGAGTTGTATGCAGGTTCAACTGAGGTGATAGGTTGAACTTTAGTCAACGTACAAGTGTCTATACAGATTAGAGGGCTGGCGCACAGGGGCCTAAGTAGAAGTTGACATAATAACCTTGGCATGGGTATGGACCTACAGAAGGTAAAAGTGTGAGTTTTCTGGACAGGTGTAGGTGGCTGGGCAGTAGGGTGACGGTATTTAGAATCAGTATCATCAATCACACAGAATATCTATATTAAAAAGAAAAAGAAAAAAAAAACCGGTGAAAAGGGTCGCAAAACAATCCCAGGTCAGCAACCTCCAACTACTCGTGCCAAGGTTGTGGCACTCTAAAGAGTGCCTGACAGCTTATACCTTTTTTTACGGATTGCACAATGCCGTGAAGAGAGTCCAAGGGTTTATTATAGAAAAGAAACGGAGCCCTCCATCCAAGGTTCACACGATGCCATCCCCAAGACCCATTTCGAATTGCAGAGTTCGCAAACAAGTTCTGGCAGAGGCTTGAGTTTCACCTCAGCTATTACAATATTGAGCGGATCTTGTGTCTTTTACTGGCACTTAGTTACTCGTCCCTTGGCCCCCCCCCTTTTTTTTTGAGAAAATCCAGTAAGTTTACAAGGAAATCAATTGAGGGGTGGTCCCACATACTCGGGTGGTTTGTTGTATTAAGATCTCACTATGCTAGAGGATGGTTGCCGATATATAAGAGCCATGAAAATTGGCAAGTCGCTGCGGGCATTAGCAAACGGGTTCCCCACTAGGTGGCCTAGTTTTTGAAAGGGTATACACAATGTAGGTTGTGAGAGGTTGAAGCCAGACTCTTAGTATCGGAATTCCAAGCTTAGCTGTCTGGCTTCGACCCGGCTGCAAACATGATATTGGAACTTAACCACAATGAGGAACACCCTGAGAATTCCGGGAACAAAACAAAAGATCAGACTATTCGAGTGGGTGACACTGATGGAAACTCTCTAAAACCATACCACATGTCAAGGCTATTACAAGATTATATCTTGGAACTCAAGTAAAAAAGAACGTACAAACGTGCAGAGCAGTATCAGAGGAGGCTAAACAAAGACTAAACCGTTATATCAGAACGCAAAAATGTTTTTTTTAACCAAGTAACGCCAATAGTTCCATACGCGCCTACATCGTTCAATCCTCTATAAATCCTCCCCCCTTCCCTGCCTTCAAACATAACTCAAACACTCATTCCAAACTATTACCGTTGGGATCACAAAATATGTCATCAACACCGCGAACCATCCATGGCAACCCAGTATCCTCCACCTTACAATTAGAGATGTACTTTCTGTAATAGAGTGCGTCCAACTCTACCCAATCCCATAGCGCAGGCCTTCCCCACCAATCTATTAGGGGCAGTCTGCTGTTATATACTGGCAGATCGCCATTCGGGAGTGAGTCCAAGAGGTTGTTTTTCTCCATGAGGGGTTTCTCTTTGACAGTTCTTTTCTTCCCTTTCCGGGGTGAGCGAGTGTAGGATGGCTGCTCATGGTGTACAATTGCGAGAGACTCGTAAGCGAATGCTGGATAAAGCATTACATAGCCTCGCGCCCGAATGATGTCCAATATTGGGGCTATCCAAGAATTTGCCGCCACGTCACCCAATGGAAAGGGTTCTGGCTCAGTATCGTTCTGGGAGGTTGAGGATTGGTGGGGGTAAAGCAGGTTTTTTGAAAAGTAAGCGTGGAATTCGCTCCAGTATTTCGGAAAGAATAGCGCTGCTCGTATGTTTGGAACTGGGTACAGGAATGGTGACGGCTGATTTCCTTTCGGTGGGGTAGGCACATTGAAGGGACTACTTCCATTCAGGTACGAAGGTGGTTCTTCAAGCGAAACACCAAAGAGCGAAGCGGCGTCGTGATACTGGTAGGAGGAATACTTGTATTCCAGGGTTGTGAATAAGAGGTAATGATAGTACCACTTTGAGACCTCAGCATTGGAGTCAAGAACCAGAACGGATGTGTCATCACTATCTGGATAGAAGGATTCAATGTACTGCTTCGCGGAATCAAGTGGATTCTGAGGGGCGGTAAGAGGTCGCCTGATGAATGTTCTGCTCGGGGAAGGGAAAGAGTAACTTGAGAGGAATGATTTGGTAAAGGGATGGAGAGGGACAGAAGGATTGAGAATAACAGTTAAGCTCTTGGGTCGGTGGTGAGCAGTCGGGTAAAATGCAGACTCTAAAGACTTGAGAAGACGTTCCAAGTTTCCAGAGTGAGTGTCTGCATGTATGACTATCTCGAAGTTAGGTTTATGCCATGCTAGAGAGATAAACACAAATTTCGTAAGCTAATTCTTTTCGCGCAAGGGGAGGGATAGAGCGAGGCTTGTACAAGCAACTTACCGCTTAAAGAGCCACTGTCTAACCTGGTAATCCATCTCAAGCCATCTGCGGCGTCCCATGGGAGCTCAATCGCGGGCATCTGTAATTTCTTCGCCGTATCTGTTATAGTGGCACTGAGCCAGCCGTGCTCATGCTCTGCTGACATTATTAACACCTGAGGGTGCATAAAGTCCCTTAGATGCCTGAGTGCCGTTCTGACAACAAGCATCTTTCGCTCAACCGACATTAAGTCCATAAAATCAGCACGGGCATCGTGAAAGATTGCCCTGCAGTCAGTATTCTCTTCCGTAATTCCATTGAGCTCCCGAAAGAGCTCCATATCCATGTTGCTATCTCCTATCAGTGCAAAATGGACATTGCTCCTCCCATACATGGACATCTCGCAGGCAATTCCGGCAAGTTTGCTAGCCGCATCTAGATTCCCTGCCACGAACAGTACATTCCTATTCCAAGCTCTGTTTCCGCCGCCCGTAATCTTTGAAAGGCTAGGGTATAAATTAGGGTACTGGATCGGAACGTTGCTACCCTTGCTGTAGAAAGATCTCGGATCTGGTACATGGGACCACTGCGTTGCCGAATTGAGAACGAAATAAAGCACAAATACCACAACAGTCCAGCAGATATAAGTTGCGCGACGACTGCGTCGAGGAAGGCGGAAGTATGGGGCGGAGACGGAAGAGGAACGCCGTTTCCATGGGCGAGCGTGGAGGTCGCGGGGGTCACGGGGGTCCAAAGGGGGAACCATCATTCCTGCATCAAAGAATGCGGACCGATGCAGCCTTCGGCAGTGTCCTTATCGGGATACCAGTTGAATTCGATGGGGAGAGAAATAGTAGAGTTGGAACTTGAAGTAATAGTTTTCGGCCGATTTGTGACATCTATGATCCTTCAAAACTTCGAACTCGGGTTCGGGTCTGAGGAATGGGTCCCGATGAAGTTGTGTGTTGTGTCTACTTTGCGCTGGGAGGGTTGCTTAAAGACAAATCCTTACTAAGATGGTAGGAGCCAAGAAATAAGTTGTAATGCTCGGGCGGTGGTCTGTGAAACGCAGTAGAGGCGTTTCTGAAGACTGCCCTCTTCAACTAGCTATCCTGCACTCTCCCTCCACCCTCCGTCCATCCATCCATCCCCGTCACCAATAAAACCCCCAACAACCCTATCACCACAAATCCCATCATCAACTAAATTACTATCGTTTTCTCTCCTACCCGCTCCTCATCGATTAACATTAGCTCTAACCGCTATGGCAAAGGAGAACGAGAAGTCGACCAAACTCGACAAAGGCAAAGGGAAGGCCGCAGATACCCCCGAAAAGAAGGACGGCGATGCCTTTAAGGAAGCACAGGAGAAGAATGGGAATGGAGTAAAGAAAGGAAAAAAAGATGAACTCCAAGAAGGTATGGCTCTTTTCTGATAATGACGCATTTCAAGTCGATGAAACTGATGGAAATAATAGAAGAGCTCTCGGAGGAAGACCAACAGCTGAAATCAGAGCTGGAAATGCTGGTCGAACGGTTAAAGGTTTGTCTGATCTTATCCTTGATCACCCGCGATTTAATCGATGACCATTTGATTTTCTAGGAACCCAATGCCGAACTCTACAAACCTGCGTTGGAAGCTATCAAAACCTTTATCCGAACATCGACTTCCTCCATGACTGCTGTTCCCAAACCTTTGAAATTTCTACGCCCCCATTACAAGTCTCTTACAGAACTTTATGAGCAATGGCCGGAGGGCGAGAATAAGGTTTGTTTGCAACTCCCAGTATAATGGCTATGGCCACAGGCTAATTACCAACAGGTTGCCATGGCCGATGTTCTTTCCGTTCTCGGGATGACATACGCAGACGAGAACCGACTGGATTCGCTCAAATATAGACTGCTGGCCCCTATGGAAGACCCCGGTTCGTGGGGTCACGAATACGTCCGACATTTGGCCTTGGAGATCGGTGCAGAGTTCACTTCGCGCCAAGAAAGGGAAGAAGATACACAAGACTTGACTGGCCTAACAATGTCCCTCATCCCGTTCTTTCTCAAGCACAATGCAGAAGCGGATGCTGTTGATTTACTGTTAGAACTGGAGATCATCGACAAGCTTCCGCCTTTCTTGGACGAGAATACCTATCAGAGAGTAGGGCTATATATGATCAGGTGCGCTCTTGAGATTAGACTCAAAAAACAAAAGTTCTGGATTAAGCTCTTGCTAACATTTTCCATAGTATGGTGCCCCTTCTCTCCCCCCCCGATGACAAGACAACTCTGGAGACAGCACATTCCATATACCGCAAATATAATAAGCTAGCCCAAGCCATTACTCTTGCTATTCGTCTTAACGATGTAGACTTGATAAGGGAGGATCTTGATGCCGCGGAGGATCCCGTGCTCAAAAGACAGCTTGCCTTCCTTGTCGCTCGACAACAAATCTCACTGGACACCCCAGATCAGGACATAAATGAGGCACTCAACAATACAAGGTTATCGGAGCACTTTGCGGCTCTTGGGAAGGAGCTCAACATCCTTGATCCCAAGACCCCCGAAGACATTTACAAATCTCATCTGGAGAATTCCCGTGGCTCCGGAGGAAGTGTGGATTCTGCTAAGCAGAATCTTGCCAACAGCTTTGTAAACAGCTTTGTTAATGCTGGATTCGGAACAGACAAGCTGATGTTGGTTGAGGATGAGAGTAACAGCTGGGTTTACAAAAACAAAGATTTGGGGATGCTTAGCGCAACCGCAAGTATTGGTATGCTATACCAGTGGAATATTGATGGACTGGATGTTATCGACAAGTACATGGATCAAGAGCAAGAGGAGGAAAACATCAAGGCTGGGGCTGCTCTTGCCATTGGAATTCTCAACTGTGGAGTTCGAAGCGAGACGGACCATGCCATGGCTCTTCTCTATAACGATGACTACCTTGAAAACAAGAGCGTTCCAATTAGAGTGAGTGCGATAATGGGTCTTGGACTTGCCTACGCTGGATCGCAGCGAGCCGATTTCCTGGAACAACTTCTACCAATTATCGGTGATTCCTCCATCACGCTACAGGTCTCTGCCATGGCCGCCTTGTCCCTTGGCCTGATATTTGTTGGGTCAAGCAATGGCGATATTTCCAGTGCAATTATACAGACGTTGATGGAGCGGGCAGAAGGGGACGATCCTTCATTGAAGGACAAATGGGGCCGGTTCCTTGCGCTTGGCCTGGCACTTCTATTTGTGGGGCGGCAAGACGATGCGGATGTCACGTTAGAAACTTTGAAGGCTATTGAACACCCTACTTCCAAGCACGGTGGGGTTCTGGTGGATGCTTGTGCTTATGCTGGAACCGGCAACGTGCTAAAATACCAAAGCATGTTACACCTTTGCAACGAACATATTGACACCTCTGAAGACGAAAAGAAGGGAGAGGACCTGTTCCAGTCTTATGCGGTATTAGGATTAGCACTCATTGCTATGGGAGAAGACGTTGGTGCTGAAATGGCCTTAAGACAATTCGGCCATCTAATGCACTACGGAGATGGAATTATTCGTAAGACTGTTCCTCTAGCAATGGGTCTCCTTAGCGCATCAAACCCCCAGATCAAGGTCTATGACACTCTTTCTCGATACTCACACGACAATGATATCGACGTCGCGATAAACGCGATTTTTGCCATGGGGTTGGTTGGTGCAGGAACAAATAATGCGCGTTTGGCACAACTTCTACGACAGTTGGCAAGCTACTACCACCGGGACCCCAACTCACTCTTCATGGTCAGGATAGCACAGGGTCTATTGCACATGGGCAAGGGAACTCTAAGTCTAAATCCATTCCACAACGACCGAAGTGTACTGAGCAGAGTCGCAACTGCTGGTTTACTAACGGTGTTGGTGAGCTTGATTGATGCTAAGAGTTGTATGTACCCTTGACAGACCTCCGTTCATCACTCCTGGGATCAGAATTAATTCGACGCTTTTTAGTCATCCTTGAGTCGTCACATTACCTGTTGTACTACCTCGTCACAGCGATGCACCCCCGTTTCCTGATCACACTAGACGAGAACCTCCAGCCCTTGCCCGTAAACGTACGAGTCGGTCAAGCAGTGGACGTAGTTGGTCAAGCGGGCCGACCAAAAACTATCACCGGCTGGCAAACACAGAACACACCAGTATTGCTCGCATACGGCGAGAGGGCGGAACTAGAAGATGACGAATATATCTCTCTGAGCAACAATCTTGAGGGATTAGTTATTCTCAAGAAGGTCAGCAACAATCCTTGACATATTCCCTAACTATTAAAACCAATTCTAACCCACATTCCGCGAAAATAGAATCCCGAATGGCAAGGAAGGGACTAGAAGGTTAAACGGAATCTTGATAGTATAAAGTTTGGTTTGGGGAGGGTTCCATTGTAGGGTAATTCTTGCTGATAGCCAATTTTTGTCTAGAAAAGTGGAATTCGCAGTTTTTTTATTAATTTCTGCCGCTAGTCCCCGGTGTAAATTACCAATGCATGATCAATTACCCCCTTTTTCTTGGCCCATATACTTCATCGATCGGTCTACTCGTATCATTCTTGTTACCCGTGTTGTGAGAATATTGGATAGAACGATGATATGAGATATGAAGAAGTGATCGATTGCTTGAGAAAATTGAACGCTTAACGCTTTCAAAGGGAAGAGCTAAAGACCCTGACTATCTACTGTTTTGGAGCAAGACAAATGGCTTGAGCAAGCAATAACAATAATAGAGAAAAGTGGTGCGTGAGAAAGGCAAGGAGGTATCTTCAATACGAGTAGTTTAGGATGTCTAGATGCACCATCAGGTTTAATGCAAGGAGAAAGTATCAGTAGTACGATAGGAGTAACACTGCAGTAGTGCGAGAAGTATGTTTCAACAACCCGATTTACGATTTGTCGAGTGACTTTTGGTGACGCGTAGTTGTTGTGAGCGACCCATACCGGTAAAAAGTATCAAGGAGCATACAAATGGGGGCAAAATTTTTGGTAATGCCTACCTCCTCACAAGAGGGCAGGAGTATTTTCGGAGGCTCAACGATCCATCGGGATCTTGTACCCCTTGCAGTAACATAACCCCCCATCACCTTGATTATACTAAAATCCATACAAACAACATTCAGTAATACAACATAACTTGGATATCACAACCCTAACGCCTGTTAGAAAACGCTCTTTTAGAGGTAAGGAATACGTTAGAGGGGTCCATAAAGAACCAAAGCCGATGCTGAGTTATATTATAGATATTTCCCTTGGACTTAGGGGTTTCCATACCTTCGATACACAATTGATCATGGTGCCAAAACCCCTATCAAAACTTAATCGACAAGCCCACTCCCCAAAACCCAACCTAAGGCGTTGCGAGTCATCTCACGGGCTCTCTATAACTTATTACACAATAAACAGTACAAAATCTTTCCTCCCTTTATCCCAGGTCAGTCCCCGTACCTGCCAAAACCCAATACTGCCTAAAAAATAAATAAATATGGGGCTAGAGCGGGTGATGCGCCAACGCAACCATCCCTCCCTCCTCCAATCGCACAATTCTATACCAGCGGACGTAAAAGAACCTTTCACTCTAATCCTCATCAAGCTTGCCAAAATCAGTCAACAATACGCCATCGCCACCCTCTAGTAACCCTAATCCCCCGCTGCCGCGGGTCATGACCCACTCTTTTTCAACCCTGAAAAAGGTCCAAACCCATCGCCTAAAGATCTCTAGGAGCTCCAGGAGGAATATCCCACCTTCCATTTCGTTGATGTGATCCAAGTGAGGACTGAGCTTAACACTCCAGGTTCCCCTGAGCAGGAAATCAATGATGATGGCTCCATAGTAGAGCTCCTTATTTACGAAATGACGATTCGGTCTCAACCCATACGGGTATTCGCCCGAGGAGCGGCGAGAAGAGAACAGGGTCAATTCCCAATCTCTTGCGACATCCCAGTAGAACGAAAACAGCGAGTTGACCGCCACAGCAAGCAACCACAGCCTCGAGAGAGTTGAGCGTGAGAACATATGCGGCTCATCGGGGTTATATCCACGCTGCAACGCACTGCACAGGATCACCGGGAACGCCGAGGCGTACTTTACAGAATTGTAGAGATGGATTCGTTGCTCTGCAGACGGGAAGCCCTTTCGGCGGGCCCGAACATACTCGATCAAACATTGCCGAAACCGTATCAAGTAGGGCACACTTATAGCAAGAGGCATAAGATACTTCCCACCAGAAGAACGGTTTGGGATGGTGTTTGTCGAAGAGTATCCACTGAAGAACATACAGACACACACCGCAAAGTCCCCAAGAACCTTTGCATAAGAGGTCAAGGCATCGGCGAGAAGTATATCGGCAAATCGAAGGTCTGGGTGGAGCCCACCGATAAGAACCCGACGAAGCATCCTGTTTAACCCGATTAGCTACCTGTGGCTTAAATTACTGCCCGCATATAATCCAATATGGAACAAGCATCCACCGCAGCATAACAAAAGGTGACTTACCTCAAAAACCTCCAGCGGCCCCTATGGTGCCAGCCCCCAAATGGCCATAAAAACATACCCACGACGGCAAGGAACAGTAGTACAGGCAGCATCTGCAAGTTCTTGACCGCCTCCTCGTTCCCGGCGGTAAAAACCCAAAAGGCCGTGACGTTCGCCCCAAACAACAGTGCCAATAGAAAAGCGAGCTCATAAACCGACTTGTGAAGCGGAGGTTCGGAGGAACTGCGAGTGTACCGTAGCATCGGCGAGGCATCGATCCGGACGATCTGGAAATAGTGTAGATTAAGGCCAAACAGCCATATCCCTGTCCCCTTTCAAGAGATCAAATCAGTCACAAGGTCGATCACGATAAGATGGGCTATTGAGAGTCGTGGCAGACCTAAGATGGTAACCAAGAGAACTCGATATGGTAGTGGGAGATAGAGACTTAGTGGCTCGGAAGAGCCAATCGGTTCCTCCATCCTGTGGAAGAACTGTCAGTGAACGGAAGACAAAAGAGCGACTGGAGTTAGAATGTCAACAACTAAAGGCTTTTGGAGCTTCGGCACAAGGACAAGTTAATCCAGCGATGAAGTTCAGGAAAGGAGTCGTGTGCTGAGGGTGGCGAATTCATATAAAAAGCAGCAAGCATTGTATTTTTTGCCAGGGGTCCCATTCAGCCCAGCGGCTCTGCGATCCCTTTTTCTCTTGGCATAGTCTAATCCGCATCACTCTGGAGCAATCTGCATCAGTCTACCGGTCCCGTACCGGTATGTTACGAGTATCAAATCTCCCGCACAGCACGGTAGTCTACCGCACTCCCTATTATCGCAGCAGCTCTACCGATAACGACGTGAGTTACAGTACCATGCCCAGAAGCCACTCAGCATGTAGATCCTGGTCAAGAGATGTGATGGAAATCACAAAATTGACAACTCAATACCCCACAGCAAAGTACCGTAGTCAATAGGTTTTGCTTCGTAACAACGGTAGTGCCTGCATTTTAGCTATTCTGAGCCTACATCTATGACGATAATATGTTAATCCTGCATATAGGCAATATATTTCACTTTAAGTAACCTACCTATCCAGAAGCCCTCTCGTAAGAGATAAACCGTCCCCATCAACCATTAGGCATAAATTTCCGGATGCCCGAACAGTTTCACAATTTTCTACTTTGTACACGCTAAAAAAAAAAATCAATGTTCTCATTATTCAATAATATTATAGACTATAATATAGTATAACAATTTGACCAGGCCGCAAAATTTAATATCATAGTATATCCTGATCTCCTCATGCTGGAAGGAGTAGAGTACAGTATCATACAGCAACAGCCATAGAATTCTCATCCCCTTCCTTGCACCCCAAGAAGCATACCTACCGTATTAACAACAGGAGAACAAGGAGGGTACGAGAGCTTTTGCAGATGCGTCCGTATCAGTTACTGTAACCCCTAATAGTTTGAGCATCTTGTCCTAAATTATCAAATTAGCTTATAAACTACCGCAAAATCTCGCACATAACAAGTGCGATCAGGCTGATTAATACAGCCCATCACTAGCTAGCAAGAGAGCTCTTTGAAGTAATATTTTGTCATTGTAACCTACTCGCAACGATGTGAAGCCAGCCAGCAAATTCGGGCCATACCCGAGCTTGGTTGAGTTGCCGTAGTTATATGCGAGGTTTTTAGGCATTCGTACTTCTCTCTACAATTTAAATTCAGAAGATGGAAAACCTGTCCACGCACTTTGAACCCCCATAAGGTTGCTCAAACCATAAAAACAAGGAAGATCACGAAAGAATGGTATGGAGAGTTAACTTGTTACGAAGATATTCTGTGGTCGAATTCGGGAAATCTATTTTTACTGATTCTTATTTGTGACTACAACCTCGAGGGTTAGCCACGGACGGAAGCAAGATAGTTGACTGGGGGCATGCAAAGCTTGTGCAATCACTCTATTCATTGGGGGAAATATAATTTTACGCTTTTTTTTTTTTTTTTTTTTTTTCAATTTTTATACTAGACAGAATGGCAGGAACAGTGTTTGAAAAATCCTTAAGAATCTGATCATGATACAAATGGCTTTTCTTAAACGAAGGGATAGATTATCTAACCCGAGATACTAGATATTGTGCTAGATATTGTACTGTACTTTAGGGCACTGCCTATCATAATAAACCTTTAGACTTGTAGGTTCCCCCGTAAATTACGTTATGGCACCCCCTTGCTCTTATCGTGATGAATTTTTCTTCTCATAGACTACCGTTACATTAGATATTTTCCCATCACTACCCAGTCGTAACCCGGAAAAACGAAAAACGAAGGGCAAGAGGAAAGAAGAAAAGTATAACAAAATATCGCCGGCTAATGCGGGTAGGAAGTAGGGAAACCATCATTTTTTTAGGTTTGTTCTTCCAATATCGTGACATGACTATCATCTATTGTCGTATACGCAATCCCGGCCTCGGTCAATTCGTAGATGGCTTTTTCGACATCAGTCAAGGATAAGCCACACATTTGCGCGATGGTGTTGACATGTGTTCCATCTGTGTGTTGCGGTTTGGACCGGACCACATCAAGGATCCTCCTACAATGCGGGCTGGCATTAGGTGGGCAGTAGTAGGCCCCTCCTCCGCCTCTGACCGCCGCACCCATACCACTCATCGCGACATCTCGCCCTTGGTCATGCATCTGGTGTCCCATCACACCGGTCGTTTGTCCAAATTGCTCGGGGGGGCCTCTTGTCAAGTGCAAATGAATTGCCGTAGCCTCTAGAAGGTGGTAGTGTATTTCATTGAAGTCCGTGATGGGACGTATATGATGGGCACCGAGGTGGCGTTTGCCACCGAAGGCTTTGAGGGTACCCAGAATCCGGACATATTGGTTTGGCTGAAGCTTTTGGGAAGGCCCATCAGGAACAGCGGTGGCTTCAACCCATTGCTTAACTTCCAGGGTGCCAGTGCCATCATCCATCTTATAGGTATGGTTCGTTGCTTGCTCGCTGACGGCACGAATTTGTGCAACAAGGGTGAGCTAGTGACGGACATTTAGTTATATGCTCATAAAATAAACAACGCATCAACAACCATGCGTATCTTACCTGAGTTAGCTCAACGTCATCGATCTTAAATTCAGCTTCCGGATGAGGCTGGGTGGCCTCAAGTACCTGTTTAATTGTGACAGGACGAAGAGTGCTCGCAGAACGACTCTACAGATGTTAATTTGATTCAGATGGATGAGGTTTGCGATATATAGCCTGGGCTACTTACTCCGCGTGAAGCACTTCCACCTGGACTAGCTTGACTCCCACCCTGCGAACCGCCGTAGTTGGTAGAAAATCCTCCTGCGCCTGCTCCACCGCCTGCCCCGTAGGTGTAACCCCCTCCGCCATAGCTATTGCCGTAATCTGAAGATCAGGTCAGTATAAACTGCATAAAAGGGTTTGATGGGAATATTCTCACCCATGATGTATTTACTTGTGAGTCGTTGAGAGGTAGAATAGGTGAGAGAATGGAGATGAGTGGGGATTAAATCGAATCGAGTCAGATCTTCTAAACACGCTTTACGCGTTCGCGTGGCTGCCAAGTCATCCAAGGTTTCAAGAACTGTTGGCCTGAAGCAGGGCGGCAACTGTAGGGCCGGGTAACACCCAGAGACTCTTGATTTACCAGCATGCCATGGTAGTCTACTCACGCGTCTTTGCCAAGAAAAACGCCGTGAGCCGAAAATGGGGGGGGTAAACTATGACGACAAGGTACCATAGATAAGAAACAACTAGGAGTAGAGCTACACAGCAACCATATCCTCCACGATCAGATCAAACCAAGCACCTTATTCCACTACAAAAATGCCGAGTGGAGAAAGCCTGTCAATTCCAATCTGAAGTGCAATTGTTACGCTAATTCAAGTAGGAGGAATGAGTTATTTAGATGTCTATGAGGCTCTGAATTCATGGGTTTCACTAAATACAATAAAAGGAACATGGCTCCAAGTAATGGTAAGTAGGAAAGATGAGCATTTAAGTATGGTCTATACTAATCAGTGAATATAGAAGAGGAGATCAGAGAGTCGAGATATCTTTCACCTGCTCGAAAATCTTCACGATCAAATTTGACCCAAGGCAACTGTTCTGCGAAAGATTCACCCTGGATCTGCTACCTCCAAACGATTATGAGATCTTGCCTTATGTGATGAGGAACATTGGCAAAAGACCTACCCACAAATTGCAGCAGAGGCTGAAGTTAACATTTCCAAATCATATGCATATAAGATAATGAAGGAGCATCATGATTTGGGCCACTTTGAACTATGACGAAAGCTAAAACTACAGCCCAAAGACTGGTAAGCCCAGGTTGTACTGGCTGATTGGGCACTCACGAAACCTTTAGAATGCTTTCCTTTCACAGATGAAAGCTGGATTGAAATAGGAGGTACCTGTGGACGGCAGAAAATCACTCGACCTCAAAACTCGAATCCCTACGACTATGTTGTCCTGTTTCATAAACCAGTCTTTTCACTTATACTTTCAGCTTGTATTACTATAGGCTATAAGGGTAGACTCTATATTTGGGAAAAGGAGAGTGCGGAGGAGCGAGTGGAGAATAATAAAGAACTAGAAAAAGAAAATCAAGCCAAGCGGGAGAGAGTGGCTGATAAGAGGAGGAAGGCAGTAGTACCAGGTACTATTGAATATGAAGAACTAGAGAAAAAGAATGCAAAAATCTGAGAGTACAACTGGGTTAAAGAACCTACAGCACCACGCAAAAGACCAAGACGTCCTGAGTGAGAGTTTGGAGAGGAGGTACCAGCTAGGAGTGCTGGAGAGGGATTTGATTGGTTTATGTATAGGAAAGAAGTCTTACATCCACTGGTGTATCCATTTCTAAGTAAGGTTCAAGAAGAGAAAAAAATAGATATCTGGCTTATTGAGGATAATGCCGGTAACCACACACAGGCAGCAAGAATAGATGCTGAAGAAGCATCTAAGTTCGGAATCAAACAAATTCCCCATAAAGATTCACCTATTGATAGACTCCCTTGTTGGCCCACCAACTCCCCCGATATCAATACGATAGAGCCACTTTGGCGATATCTTAAAAATCGTCTCGCCAAGTACCCATGCCCAAAGGGCCAATCACGCAGCGAAATCGATCGATTTAAACGAATCATTCATGATGAATGGGATACAATGCCACAGGAGGTTATTGATCATCATTGCCAAAAATTTCATACAAATCTCAGGCAACTCAAAGAAAACGGTAGAAAAAACAACTTTGATGCCTAGTCTGCTAGTTACTCCTCAAGTATTACAAGGTACTGTTTCCTTGAATTCTTAGAAGGCATTGATAAAGTTGTCTGATTAGCACAGTGTTACAGTACGAGATACCGGCCGAGGAGCAAGAAAGCATAGTATGACAGAGTGCGAGCACAAGCCCAGGGGGATGCTGTCTGCTTTCTGCTCAGGACTGGCTATACTCGCACAGCCAACTGAGCTGGGTGTGTGTTTTTATAGTATGCTGTGGCTGGGGCAGGATACATAGGAGTGGATTGTTGTTTTTCATATTCCCTACTGCTAGGCATAAAACATGGATTTTTTTAGTTTTGTCAATGTACTTTACCAGTACCTGTAGGTATCAAGTGTCCGTGATCTGGTTTGGTATTGGTTTAAAACTCTTTAAAAAATACAGTGCAACATGTGAGTGTTTAAGATATCTGTTACTTTGCGACATGTATTGAAAATCTCCTGTTTTCGGCTCACGGTGTTTTTCTTGGCAAAGACGTGCGAGTATGACAGCAGGTAGACTAGCAGATTTTAGAGTGATGAACCGTACTCGTACTGTACAGTAGTCTACAGTACTTGAGCCATGGCAGGGAATAAGTTGATAGCCATTTACTCATGTGGCCGAGTTGCTATCGGACACCTATATAGGGTAGTGATCGGCGAACAAATAAACAGGCCTTTTAATAGTGCCAAGCTGGGTGGCGCAATTTGATATACTGGAGAAAACAAGCGATCTCATAGAGGTTTTCACAACCTCCTGATTTGCCCCTCTGTACCCAATATTAATCAACTCCCCATACTATTGCTATACCTTTCAAAATTCTAAATAAATGTCCGCTCCGCTGAGTGAAAAAGTGTCAACTCTCCGAGTTCCTTTGCTTCAGAGAGCAGCGATTTTGACTCTAAAGTGGCACACGGACATGTCATATCGAGTGATAGCAGAAAAGCTGAAACAGAAGAAGTCCACTGTTGAGGGTATCATCAAACAGGTAAAGGCAAGAGCACCTAGTACAAGTTCAATATCCTCAAGTCATTAGATTGATGATGTGTTTTACTTGACGGTAAGGAAAGCATATCATTAATCTGATAACTTACTCAAGTGGCCGAATTGAAATCAGAAGGTGGCTAAGCGAACTTTGCGGTAATGCTTTCTGACTTCAATTTGGCTACTTGAGTATGTATATCGAAAAACTTATATCTTGAAGTACCTGTTCTAAAATATTCAATGTTAGACTCGCGCAGCAGATTCAAAGGACTTTGAAGATGTTCTTGCCTGTTTAGATGATGATCAGAAAGGTGGCAATCCCGAGCGATTTCCTATGGGCTGTGAGGAGTCAATTGCTCTCCGTGACCTTAGTCAAAAAGATGAGGAGCACTGGCAAAAGACATTTCCTGAGATTGCACAAGAGTTAGATATCAAAGCAGCACGTTCAACTCTTGAGCAAGTTTTTCATAGTCAATATGACATTTTCCGACGAAAGCCAGCATACAAGCCGAGTCTGTCAGTTGCCCACATAGAAGCATGCCTCGCCTTTGCACATATGGCACTACAAATTGCTATTAATACTATCGTTTTTATGGATGAGATGTGGGTTGAGTTTGGAAAACCCCCTCGCCAACGTAATGTGTCATGATATCGGGGTATTGATAGTAATGAATACGCAATTCATGATAGGGATGGGGAAAAACAACCTATTCGGATCATGTTTTGGGGTGCGATCATTCAAGGGGCTAAAGGCCCATATCATATTTGGGAACAGGATACAGTTGAGGAGAAGGCTGTGTTTCAAGAAGTTGTTAATGAGGAAAACCAAATACGGCAGGAGAGACAGCAGTTTAACCAACAGCAGGCCCAAGTTTCCAGGACCTGGCAGCACTGGATACTTTCCGAATTCAACAACAACATCGAGGTCTAGAACCAAGAGGAGAGGTGTACTGGGAGGAATAAAAGGAAGAAAAGAAAGGCAGAGCAGGTGTTTAAAGAGGCGGAGCTAGGATTTACAAGTAAGGGAGGAATTAATTGGGTATCATATTGGGAACGAGTTCTACGACCGAAGCTTTATCCCTGGATGAAGTCCATCAGAGAAATACGTAGAGTGCCACAACTATACTTAGTTGAGGACAATGCACCTAGTCACCAAACGGCACGGCGAATTGATTATGATGAACGTCAGTCATCAGGTATTTTTACATTAGATTGGCCCTCCAAGTCACCAGATTTGAATCAAATTGAACCCATTTGGGACTACCAAAAGAATGAAGTTTCTACATGGCAGCTTGTCGGAGCTAGTAGGATGGCTGTTGAGCAAGCGAAGGAGGCACTTGCAAGGACTTGGGAAGCACTTCCTCAGGCTGTGATTGACCAAAAGTGTCAATCATTTCATGAGAAGCTTCAAAGGGTGATACTTCACGATGGGAATAACAATTTCAATGGTTGAATTATCTGGTTTTCTTGTACCGTATATGATTAATAAGTATGTTGCCTGGCATATGGTTGTTATTGGTCCGCCGATCACTACTCCATATAGGTGTCCGATAGCAACTCGGCCGCGCGAGTAGTTTCGAGTTGAATCGTCACCACCAACAAGAAAGCTTCTTTCCCTCTGACCTCAAGATGATCGATATGCAGTTAGTCATCTACTACATCAATCTATGGGTTTTAATCCCCGGAAAACCATGATCTATGGGTTTGGTGTTAGGGGTTCTGTGCGGGAGCTCAAGTATCATAAATTTACTGGTAATGACCGCCAGCAACCTACAACAAGAGACTTATCAAAACTTGAGCAAAAAAGTAGCCAAGTCACACACATCTTCGAGGGGGGGGCATCATCTCACTAGGCCGAATTTAGCTAAACTATCTATGTCTTTTTTTAGGAATTGCTCGTGCATATTTGTCATTGAAGATGAGTTTTGCGTGAACTGCAGACTGCGGTCCGGGTTCTGTTTTCCTCTATCCTACCGGCACGGCAAGGGAAAGAGGGCAAGGAAGGGGCGGCTATAGGTTTATCGCTACCGGAGCCATACTAGTATCATCCTAACAAATTCCTTTTTCGCAATCGATACTTGTGCTCGAGTAAATTATTCGCGACTGGCAAGTTAACCTCACTTACTCCAAGTTCTAAGGGGATGTGCCAGGCAACCTACCTCCATCGAACCCACAAAGCTTGTCTCCGGGATCGCCCCTGGGAAATATCCCTCTGTAAATTTTCAATTGCCCCTGTCTAACTGGCCCTTACCTAGGCCTGGACGCTCTCAAAGATCTTTCATAGATACTGGTCAAACGCTCTAATATGAGTTGTCTAAGGCTTATTGAAATATCATGCAGAGGCGCTTCGCTAGGGAGGTATATCAGAATCCGTCCTGTTGTAGGTTCTTCAAGTATACCGTTACGGGAAACTACAACTGTAGATCTGAGTCCAGGTATTTTGTAGCCATATATAGAATCTTACCTGGCCTTCACAATATGACATCTAATCCCAGATACACTACCTTTCAGAGATCAAAGGTCAATATCTCATTTTATACTAATATATTCTAGCTCTCGGCACTGCACTACTAGTATATCAGGCAGTGTAGAGTACGGTACTCTATTATGGTTCCATATCATTAGTCTTTGCATTGACCTAGCGTCACTCGGACGGGACCGTTCGGCGATCGCTGGCGACACGATCCGGACCACTTACCGTGCCGGCATACAACTGCACTACAAACAGGAAGATATGGGTATGATACAGAAAATTCCTGTCCCAATTCGCACATAACTCTCCACAAGCAGTACCGGATCTCCTTCACCAGTACCGGTATGCGCCTCCTCTTCCCCTGATTCAAGCCACTACCGATATCCTTCTTCCGTTGCAAGCCGGTCTCTAGCCCTCCCGTTCCGTGGGCTCTTTAGGAGTTTTTTTTTTTATCTACCGGCGCCGTGCATATCATACGTTGGCATCGCACTGCCCATGCGGTAGAGTGCTCTACAAGATAATGGTATGATATAGCGAGGACCCCTGAGCCCTAGAAAAGCAGAAAGGTTGGACCCGAGATTACAGCTGCGGAACCTATGTGGCTTGCCGGTTTCCAGTTGCTCAGCCAATGATTGGCACTGTAACTATTGCTCCTTTACCGACTAGTCAATTGGAGGAATAAATTTAAGGTGGGCGTTTCAAGAAATCCTACTATCCGACATCCCGTCTCGTCTGCAAAAAAATCTGTTGGCGACAACCGCGAGAGCCCCTCCCTACCTGCCTTTCCTGGAGTCAAAAGTCAAGGATAAGGACTAGTACTGTACTAGTACAAGCATCCCCCGGCTTGTGCGTAATAATCCAGAAAGGTTAAAACTGGAACTGGAGCGGACCCCAACTCAACGCGATATGCTTGATGGTGATTCTGGCAGGGGCGTGGTGCTTTCACGAATGGGCACGAATGACTTTTTCTTGTTGTATCATATCTAAACTTGCGTCTACGAGAATGGGCAAAAAATGTCAGACGACCGTACGGGGCCTGCACAGTCCCCTCCTGCCGCCCCACTGTTTATTTGTGGGAGGAACAAAGACACGGCATCCTCTAACTGCCGTACGATACCCAGCCTTTTCGGAGAGCCCTGTTGAACAGAATGTCGATGGAGTGCATTGCAAAAAAAGTACTGCACTAAATCCTTTTTGGGCCGAGGTGAGAGGTACCGTACCGGTATTCGAGTACTGGTATAGAGCTAACTCTCGTACCCCCACGCGATGACCTACCCTGTGTACTGAAAAAAGCCGGCGTTCAGGACCCTTGCACTCTGGCCAGTACTACCATCAACAGAGTTGTGCGGGATGCCACCGAGTCAAATGTGCTTACCATAGCAATGCCGGCACCCCGGCAGTTAGTGACACAAGTTCGACGACCCAAGTAGACTTTTTCCGCAAGCAGTCTCTTGGATGGGCTATATATTTCGTGCACCCTGAAACATCTGAACTTCCTGTCTGTGGGGGGGAAGAGGAGGACTAAACTGCTACATCCTGGCGACCGTTTAAAGTAAAGCGATAAGGGGCGATGGGTTCTGGGTACACAAACTGGAACTGAAACTGGAAGCTTACTCAAAACTCAGTACGAGTACTAGTACAGTACCGTGCTGGCACTCTCGTACAAAAAAGCTTCCAGAATATTATGAACTTCTATCCCTTGGTCTCTCTGTAACGGTCAAATTCATATTGAAGTCAGGCCCACTAAGCCCGTCCTAGAACGGTTTGAACCTTGTTATTTAGCTGAGAATAACTACACCCGCCAAGAGAAGCGCTGAGTCATTTGAGTACTAGAAAAGACTGAAAACCCGGCTTTCTCTGCTATCTTATGAGGCGTTTGGCGGCACGATTCCGATTTGAAATCGTGATCCGAGATCGCCTCTTGACAACTTTAACTTAAACCACTACTAATTATTAATCTTCTACCAGCTTTTGTTCGGATTTGCGGGTGATAATCCAAGTTAAATTAGCTCAGACGAAATCTCAAATCACGATTCCAAATATTAATCACCCTCCAGCGCGCCTTGCTACTCTGGGATTAAAATTTATTCGATTGATACGCATTCGACCGTTTCAGAGAAACCATGGGATAGTTTATTTCACGAGCGCTCCCAAAGAATTCAGTACTGGTTCCGCAATTCCATAACATCGTATATCACATAGGGCAAGAGATGCATAAAGCCTGTCCGATACCGGTATTGTTGACCGGAAGCGGCCGACTTTTAAGTTACTCGTACGAGTACAGTACCAGTGCATCACCAGAATACACTCGGGGCAGGCGTAAAGTATTGGGACGAGCATGGGGGATTTTGCGTGGGAGCGAATCAGTGGCGGAATCACGCAGAACCTCCCGGAAAGGGTATCAATTCTTGCCAGATACGGCACTCTATTGCTTAAGCGTGCAGGATCTGAATTAGAATCCCGTTTTCAACGATAAGTCAGGCGCAGACGGGGCAATTCCTATTTACATAAACAACTGAAAACCATGATACTAGCATTTCCTTTTTTGCCACTGGGCTACTGGAGCACATGGACGGGAAATGCCTGGTGGATCAGGAGACACGATACCAGCACACGAGCTGAGACAGCAAAAGCGTCTAGCAAGAGGGCATCGGTCCCTATTCCTACGAATCAAGGCCCAAACACGGCGCGAAAATGGAGCGAGGCTCGATCGGAATGCTGGACGGTGTGTCTAAGGAAGGAAAAGCGGCCAACCAAGAACGAACCACGATACCGCACGGGGGTGACGATACCTGAAGTTGCCGGTACTGCACCTTTCACAGAATGGATGCCTCGAACTGAAATGCACTTGGGCCCTACGAGCGCTTTTGAATCCATACCGGTACTCCATCAAACGCCTTGGTTTGCTAATTCCGGGTGCCCCCTCATCTCACCGTGCGATCATGTGTGCATCAATTGCCACCAGGTGGGTGGGTGGGACATCTTCCCCTATTCGCAGGGGAAGAGGGGGTAGGATGGGAGAGATGCCCTTCCTTCTCATTCATGTGATCCAAAACTCTGGCCTTAGGGAGGCTGGGACCTGGGGCAATAAATGTTGCACGAAACGATATCAACAGGCAAAAAGTAATTGCATAGGCGCAGTGAAAGGCGCCTATTAAATGAAGTATCCCGAAAAACTCTCGTTAAACAAAGTCCTGGGATATTGATAGGGTGCTCGAGATCAAGGGAGTCCAAGTTCGTAATATCTCATACCAAAAAGTACCATTTGCATATAGCAACTGTATCATAGAAGTATCAGGGCACGGTAGGAAACCCTAGGATTAGCGTTGATCATTGTACTCGAGTAGTAGGCTTCTACCGATGGCTTCCGGTACCTAACGCTAAGCTATCTCAGAACTTTTTACTGTAATGCGATAGTAAACCAGAGCGCTTGATAACGGAAAGGGTCCATGCGTTTAATCAAATTTTGCTGTACGTGAAGCTAGCTGTGGGGCGTGATACAAATATCGGTAAGTTACGATACTCTCAAGTGCTCGAGTAGAATGCCGGTAACCCAAAACGGCCAGCTCCGATCAGCCCTCTTTTTAGATTGGCGCCTTCCTGGTTCAGTCAATTCCCAAGCCCACGGTTTCCCGTTGTTCTTCATACTGGTTCAACTGGGGAATTTCGTCCTTGACTGTTGAGGTAGACTAGGTATTGCAAGTCGCCTCCTACTCGTAGGTTGTGGAGACCTAGGCTCGAGGTATCCGCCACAGTGTCCAATCCACTCTATCGAGTATGACACCGCTCAATATCTCTCGAGATTGGATATGTCGAAAATGAAAAAAATAAAATAAAGGGACGAAAACGGAAATGAAGAACAATGCGATTCTCGCCCACAAGCTTTCCCTGCGCACTAAACATTCCTAAGTTATGCAGCGAGCACCTTTGATCCGGTCCTTCTGGTGCGCATCAGGCGTGGAAGAAAAACCGAGTTTCCTGTAGTATGACTCCAGGGTACTGTACCGTACTCGTGCAGGTCCGGGGAGCAGCTTTTGTGAAGTTATGTTGGAGCTATTTGTCACCAATACCGGCATGCTCGCTGCAGAGAATATTGGGTGCCATAATACTTTAATAGAGAGTGTATTTACTGGTACGAGTGGAGCCCCAGATCAATCCTCATCCCATTAAAATACCATACTCGAGTACCGGTATGATACCTTATGAACATCTACTCACGCCCCATGCCACCATTTGCTCTCTCCTTTTCACAAACTAGGTATGGTCTGTATCCTTATCACCGCAGAGGCAACTCTTACTCCATGGTGTGTTCCGTGGAGTAAATTCTGGAGGTCGTTTTCTGTGCCGCTGTGCATATATTCCTCGCTCGTGCCTGCTCTTGATCATTTTTCTCCCATCGAGAAAACTTCCCCAGCAGTGGAATTTCCCCGCTGCACACCCCCTCCACACTACTGCACCACCGCTTTCGCCCAACCTCTCTCGGCCTGCAGTGGTCCCTATTGCCCCACCATCTAAGTAGGGATCTGCGTTCCCAACTTATTATTGCTCATTCACACAGGAAACATTCTTCCTTGATCCCTCGACCTTGTTACTAACTTACTGTTGCCGCGTGGTTGTCGGAAGGGCACCTCTCAGCTCTTCAACCCCCGTTAGTAGATCGTGTGGTTCTTATCCGCTCGGTGTCAGCCCAAAACACTCGTCAACAGTGACGCTTGTGCGGCGCCGCCGCCGCCGGTTGTCTCAGACTATTCCTTCTTGCTTATTCTTATCCGCCTGTCAACCAAATTTTTTTTCCTCCAAGCATCCTCTAACCTGCCGGTAATAGCTCGCCTTTGGAGCGAGAGTGACCACCCCTCCTTGCTTTCTCGATTGCCTTTTCCTTGCCCTGTTGAGGACGTTCTATATCTCCTGCCCAATCTTTCCTTGTCGCCATATCAACCCGGGTCCCTTGCCTGAAGAACAGAGTAGGACGGGAGAGGAGGATAGGTTATTAAAAGAAAAATTGTGTGTTTTGGGATTAGTTTTCCAACCGGCCTCATTTTTATTTAGGGTTCCCCTTCTCTTCCCTCGCCCTTTGCCCTCGGAGAAGGAAAATCATTACACTCACAGCGCTGAAGGTACGAAGAAGTGATTGAGTGAACGGGATTTTGCCCCCGACGACCGAACATCAACTACGAAAGAGCTATCGTATCAACATAGACAATACTGGACGAGAAGCTATTTTCCTCCTCCTTCATAACTAGGAGCTACTTTATTCTTTACGGGGATCATCGGAAGGTGGCAGATAGATAACATCATGTCTGGGGGGTACGTGCTCCATTCCATTTTCAAGATTGACTCTTTCACTTATCATGTGGGACTTCAATGCGATCTTTGACGGAAGCTTTTGACGTCACTAGCACTAGAGCTAATTGACCGGACCGACCCGAACAGATCTTTAAAGGACCTATCAAAAACCCTGAATGTGGCCCTGTCTGCACAGTTTCCTCTCTATCCTTTACCAGAAGACGTCCTTAATGTCATACATGCTTACCTCAACAAACATATAAATTCGGATGATCACGATTCCCAACGACTTCACGACGAGTTGTTGAATCTACATGAATCGAAGGTCCGAAACAGGCCAGAGAATCATGCTACATTTCTAGCATGCTTCCGAGCCCTTCGGCCTGGTCTGGTCGGTGTGGAGAGGTTATTAAAGTGGTGGGATATACTCGTTCGACCAACGTTAGATTCCATGGAGCAAGCAAAGGCTGTTGTGGCGGATGCTCGGGCTATAGTTCTCAGCGTGCTAGCTTATGATGACGAGGATGACCCGACGGGAGAAAAGGCAAGGGGATCGGCAGTATTTACGGATAAGCTGTTTGAGGTTTTTCTGGAGAAGACCAAGTTGATATCGTCAGATAGAGGTGCTGGGTTTAAGGAAGAGCAGAAGCAGAGGTTTGTTTCTGCGAATGTTGAGGTTGTGCTTTTGGCCTTTGGGAAAAGGAGGCCAAAGGTTAGTCATGATTTTGCAAGATTGCGAATGATTAAGGCTGATAAGGGAAATAGGTATTCCTCGAGAAGATCGATAGCTTTGTGGTGCAGAAGGAGTACAGACTGCAAGTGTTGGGTTTGTTGTGCAGTTTTGTGCGGTTACAGGGGCCGCACCTCTACCAGATCCTACAGACCGAACTCCTCGACCACCTTCTACAATGCCTTGAGAACGATACATCGACTACAGTCATTTCTTTAGCGCTGACTGTCTTGATCATGTTCATGCCTCATTTGTGCAACTCATTAGCACCTTATCTGCCCAGACTCTTCGTGGCCTACACCAGGGTGCTCTGTTGGGATAAGTTTGGTGTGGTGCGTTTGGAAGAGATGAAATTTGCTGGACACAAAGACAGTTATTCTAGGACAAATGCTCCTCTGCCTCAGGCTAAGGGCGGAAGTTGGGGTAGCCCTTGGCAGAAATTGGACTCTTCCTTCGAGACTGCAACTTCGACAACCCCAGATGTGAGCGATTACTTCACTTTCCTCTATGGATTATATCCCCTCAATCTTATGGCGTTCATCCGGGAGCCCTATAAGTTTCTGGAGCGAGCAAACTACAAGGACATCGACCACTTAGATATCGACGAAGAGACAATAAGGCAGCGAACAGAAACATACCGCCAACGGCACACACTTCATCCGAATTTCCTGAACCTGACAGCTGAGACAGAACTAACCGACCAAAGCCGCTGGATGAAGGTGGAACCAGCGGACGTGACGGCGGAGTGTATCGGTCTTGTTAATAGTAGTATCCCAATGGGCTCTGCACACGACCCAAGGGCTAAAGGGGCTGTTCCAGCTGCTCCTGCAAAGCCAGAACTCCCCGAGGCACTGGTACCTACAGAGGATATTCCTAATGAAAGCCTATTGTCTTCTGAAGCCGTAGATGATGACCATGCATCCAATTCCGGCGCCTCTGCGCAAAGCTGGAGGGGCGATACCCCTGCAATATACCCAAATAATAATTGCACTGAGGTCCTTGGCCTCTTCTCACGCCCTCCCGTAGGATATGGGGCCCACTCGCGGGATTCCCCGTATACAATACCTCGGGATTCCAAGACACCCGATAGTCCGACAATACCGCACACGATAGCACCATGTGAGGAAGAAGAGCGGCTCCAAGACATGATCCGGCTCCAAGAGAATTTGCGTGCAAACTTGCATGAGTCTATGAAAAACGATTCAACGCATTCGCTACCACCGCTTCCTGGACCACCTCCTTCCGGCCCACCTCCAGGATATGGAAGTGTTACGGCTTCACCCCGGCTCGACGCTTACGTTCACTCACTCAGCCAAAATACAGTACCGCGGTCACCAGCGCTTCGGCCGGCCGCGTCCGATACCCAGGGGACTATCGCATTCCTACAAAGGGAGGTGATGTTGCTCAAGAATGACTTAAATTTCGAGCGTTATCTCAAACAGCAACATCTTTCCCATATTGGCCATTTACAGAGAAAGCATATTAAGGAGGCCACTGCGGAAGCAGAGACACAGAATTTGATTAACACTAATAAGACATTGAAGGCTAAATTAGAAGAGGCGAAAAAGGCCTATACAGCTTCGAGGCAGGGGGCTTTGAAGAGTAAATCCCAAGCTAAAAAATGGGAAGCTGAGCTCAATTTCAAGATACGAAGCTTGCGAGAAGAGCAAATGGCGTGGAGAAGTGATGAGGAGTCAACAAAACAAGCTCTCCAGGCGGCCAGAGAGGAAGCAGACCATTTGAAGAAGCTACTGGCTGAGAACGAAGCAGAAGGATTGCGATCTCGACAGAAGCTCCAATCGATCTCATCAGAGATGGAGGAAGTCAGTAAACTCCGAGCACTCGTCGATCACCTTAGTAGTAAGCTGGCTCAGCACGAATCTCACTCTGAAGAAATCGAAATGCGCAAACAAAGTGAAGAGGCCGCCCTAGCCCACGCCGAAAGGATCAGGATGAGATTACAGTCACGGGAGCAGGAGGCACAGGACATGAAGCGGTGAGTTCCGTACCCGTTTATCACAGGCTTTTGGTGCTAACAATTGCAGCGGCTACGAGAACAAAATCCAAGAATTAGAGTCACGGATCAGCTCACTGTCAAATTCTCTGCCTGCCGCCCCTGGACAGGCTTTCCAGGAGATGATTGATAATGCCCTTTCGGCCACGAATGCTCGTTTCGCTTCATTAAGGAATGAACACAACCAGCTTCTGAGCAGATATTACAATTTAAAGATCAAGTGTATCAAACTTCAAGCGGATCGGGAGCTTTCAAACCTTCCTCCACATCACAGCAGCCTTGACCATCATCAAACATCCCCTATGAGTCAGGGATTTAACGACTTGCACTCGTCACTCGCCCTCTCTGACAGTGAAGGTAGCCAATGCCATAGCCCGCGTGGGGGTAACCACCTTTATCACTCGGAGGGGTCCACAAGCCCCCACTCGGGCAGTTATCCTGAGTCGGCGGAAAGCAACTATTCGGGAGGCCAGAATATGTATTTTTCGCCTAATGATCGTGCTCAGAATACCCAGGCTGCTCCAAATAATGCTATGCATCCTATGTCGCCAGGTTATACCTCTCCTGGGCCAGCTACAGCGATGGGGGGTGGCCAGTTTTCGATGGGATTCGGCAGTCCAGAACCACATCAACACCCATCATATCAGCAGCAACACCAACGGAATCATCCAGGCCAGCAGCCGGTTCAAGAGCACTCCAACCCACCCACACTAAAACGTAGGCCTTCGATCGTCGGGAGCACGGTTTCTGGTGCGGATAACCAGAGTATGAAGACAGTCACTTCCACCACATCATCTGAGAAAAGACGGCAGGAGAAAATCAAGGCCAGCTCGGAAGTCAGAGTGAGAGGAAGAGGTTCGTGATTTGATTTTTATTATCATTAATTGGTTTTGTTCGTTGCTTCTTCGCTTTCTGGCCCTACCCTCGTCTGTATTTCTTAACTACTCCTCTCAATTTCTCTCTTCTCTTATCTCCAAATACCGGATGTGCTGTGCCAACAATATTTTTTCAAACGTAAAACATTTGGAGAAATATGCCACACCACACCCATACGCCACGAGCGAGCCGACTCCAGCCCACACGCCCAATTTCCTGGGACCAGAAGTACAAGCCATATGTGCTTCCAATCCCATGGGCAGCGGCACTCTTTTCCTTTTCTTTTTTTCCTACCCCCTGCCCCCACCACCCACAACCAACCAACACTCCTGGATAAAACCCTTCCCTTCTCCCTCCCCTTTCCCTCCAACGTGGCTTGTCTGGGATAACGGCTGTGGCTCAGGTTACATGTTTTACACACCCTTGTACCTTTCCTCCCCTTGCACTCCCCTTTTGACTTCTCATCCCAATTCCCATTTCTTTTACCACATAGAATATCATAAGCAGAATACCCATAGACTACACATTATCGCCTACCGCACCATAACTAACTTCTTTTTTTTTTCCACCCAGGCGGCGTCCAGAACATTGGCAAGAAGGAAAAAGAAAAGGCGGCGAAAAAGGAGGACAAGAAGAAAGACAAGAAGAGCCGGTTTCCGACCGGGAGTGGGTTGGCTGGTATCAGGGGGCTTGTCTAGCTAGAGTTTTAGTTGTTGTGAGGGGTTTGCTTTTCCTTCTAACAGTAAAGTGAGGAGAGTATGCAGGGGAGCAGGGCACGGTGCTTTCACGGGCTAGAAAGTGCTAGCACTAATAGAGTACCCAGAATGGGGGGGATATATCATACTATACTTGTGTTGGCGTTCAGATACGGGCAGATTTTTACCATTCTTCTTTTTTAATCCCTGTTTTTTTTGGGTACGGTGCTTTTAGCCTGGGCGGGTACCGGTACCAGTACCCTGTACTCGTACTGGTTATCGTAGTGGTGGTGGTTCTCCTCCAACTTTTGCTGTTTCTACTATATGGGGTATGATACGATACTAATTTAACTTATCAGTGCTCGGGTACTATTAATGCAGCTACTGCAGTATCATATCATAGCTATGATAACGTACTTACTTGCTATCGGAACTGGATAATGGATAATGAGGATTTCTTTCCCCCCCTTTCCTCCTTTTTTTTTTTTTTACTTCCGTGGTGGGCTTCGTTTATTTCGAACTTTACCTCCCCTAGCGTGGCGTCGAGAGAAAAAGAATACCGGTAATTGAGAAAGTTGAAGAACAGACAAGACAAACTGACGGACGACCTTTTCCGAAATCGATAAGAATTTACTTTTCGTTATTCTCCCTTCTTGTGGCACTGTGGTTCCGCGTTTTTTGTTTTTTTATATATACCTTGCTTATTACGTTACCGGCACGTGGGGGGATGGAATATTTCTCCTGTGTATTCGAGTAACCTGTTCTTTTCACCTTTATATATTTTCTTATTTCTTAGTCTCCATTCCCGTTGCTTCTTCCTCATACCGGGAAAGGACGAGTATGGTACTATTAGTACTCGAGTATATGATACGGGTAACGTTTTCGAGATGTCATGGGTTCTTGTGGGGCATGATAGACTTGGAAGAAGGAAGAAGAGAGGAGTTATGGGGCGGGCGAAGTTGGTGCTAGGGGGGATCAAATTTAAGCTTAGGGTCCCTGCATTCTGAATTTCGCTTCCGCCTTAATTTGTGTTTTGCTTTTGATATGGTAGGGTGCTTTCAGTGGGGGTCAAGTCCGGTGAAGCGTGGGTACAGGGAAGCAGGCCGGATTCCAACAAGCGGAGTTTCCATAGGAGAACTCCGAACAACGGTTAGTTAGGTCTAGTAGTCAGAGCTTCTTCTTCCTCCTTTTCCCCATGCATAACTCGTCATCGGGGAATGTGATACCATGAAGGAGGTACCGTGCTACTATCGTACTGCGAAACCTGGGCGTCGGGTGTGTTCTCTGCTCGAGTAATACCCCGTTGCGCGATATTAACCAGCTTGCATATCAACGCCGGCACCATGTTCTTGTAGCGCAAGGGCCTCAATGGCTCACGGCAATGAGTAAAGCTCCGTTCCGGAAAGTTAAAGGTTTGTAATATTTGTAAGCGCAGTTGATGTTCCTCCGCCCTACCCACGATTGGAGCGTGTATGTGTATGTATGTGGATATTTATTTCTTTAGCATGCGCTATCACACCGATAAGTGCTTTTCCACTTCAATTGTATCTCTATTCTTCGCGAGTAATTCCTCCGCCTGTTCCCGTAGCCTCCTCCTCGCCGGCGTTGCAGGCTTCTGCGGCTGCTCGCGGGGGTTATTCTCCCCTTCTCTTTCCCGCTGTTTTGCGAGGGCGTGGTAGAGTTTGTCGTCCCATCTACCGTAATATCACCATTAGCCGTCGGGACACCGGTATACTTGTACTGGCAACAGGCGATGTCCGAGGAGGAAAAGAAAAGAAATAACATCGGATAAGGTAACTCACGGTGATAGGTCCTCGGGCTCAGGCGGGTACACAAATGGCTCCTTTAATTCCACCGTCATCTTCTTGATTGCTCGGGGCCGATACCATTCAATTTTCGGCCGGCTGAGATCCTTGTCCTTGGCCCGCTTGATATTTTGTTGCTGGATGAAGGACCTTACGGAGAGGACTTCGACATTGTAGGCGTGTAACAGGTAGTCTTTTAGATCTAGTTTGTTAATGTTCAGGGGAACGATGAATTGTGCGTAGTTTGGTGGGAGGTGGGATGTTCGGACGAGTCCAAGGGTGAAATTTGGACTAGGAAGGGTTTTTTTTAGTTGGAATTGGGCAATCGAGCTCAATTAGAGGAATCAACAAACTTACAGGTAGACTTTTTTCGTTCCGAATGGCATTGTGGGGCGTGGGTCGTGGAGGATGCGGTTGTTTCCCCAGATATCACTGTTCGGAGATAGAAAAGAAGTGCAGCCGCAAATCTTGTCACGAGTGGTCGCTCGGAAAGTTTCCCCTAGCCGCCTTGGCATGGATTGGCCTTACCTCATTCATTCCATCACGAGTCTCCAGCCTTTCACTCCCTCACCACCACCTAACTTATAATCCAACCGATGTCATCTTCAAACAGACACTCCTCCCGCCGTGAAATGCCCTACCGAGAACGTGAGTCAGACCACAGCTCTCGAAAGCGCACCCGCTCTCCCGAACCAGACCTCAACCCTCCATGGCGGAAACAGCACCAGCTTAAAAAACGCCCCTCCCCCCCTCCACAACGTGTGGCAGGCAGTGCAGCCAGCGGCGGCGGCGGAGATGACCACTTGGAGCGACGGAAGCAGGAGCGCCATGTTCGTGAACAAACGAGACTTAACGCGCTTCAGGAGGATGAGCAAATGCGGGAGTGGGTGAACCAGGAGGATACGTTCGTGCTCAAACAAGCCAAGAAGAAGGCTGAGATTCGCGTTAAAGAGGGGAGGGCAAAGCCGATCGATTGGCTTGCAGTAAATTTGAGGGTTATCGATAAGGATAGGAGTCCGCTCGATGACGAGATTGCCGATGAGGATCTGGATGTTATTGATCCGGTGTCTATACTAGATGGGTTGGATGAGAAGCAGCTGGAGGAATTGGAGGCCGAGATTGACGCTTATATTTCGCTGGAGACCAACAATAATAATCGAGAGTACTGGGCTGTAGGCTATCTACTTCCCCGCTGTTTCCTCGAAGCCCGAAAGCTAATTTTCGCGTTCAGACCATGAAGATCATATGCCGAGACCGGCGTGACAAGTCGAAGGAGTCTGCCCCGGAAGGCAGAGCTGTTAGTTCTGTTGCTGGAGATGTCGATAAGCTCTTCAGCTCCAAGTCTCTAGAAGAACTACAAACACTTGAAGCACAAATCGTCAAGAAGCTCAACTCGAACGAGCCGATTGACGTAGATTATTGGAATGAGCTCCTACGTAGCTTGAGGGTTTGGAAAGCTAAGGCCAGCTTGAAGAAGATATACGGTGATGTGATCAAGAGTCGTCTAGAGATTCTTGTTAGGCAGCAGAAGGATGAGGCAAAAACTGTTAGAGCAAAGCTCGAGGCTATCCTCAGCGGATCAAAGGGGGTTCCGGAAGGGGTCCAGGAGGACATGAAAAATGTTGTCTACAAAGAAGCCCGGGTTGTGCCTTACGCCATCGAAATGGACCCAGAACCAATGTTAAGATTACGCCACGAAGAGAAAGGACTAGAGTCCGCCGACGAGAAAGCCTTCCTCGAGCATCTAGAGGAGGAGCGCCAAAAGGTGCAAAAAATGGGCTACGTCCCCGTGAAGGCTCGGCAACAATACAAAGCCCCCTACAAGAAACGCTTCTTCTGGCAGAAACGCGCACTGCCGAAAGTACCAGCGCCCAATGCCCCACCAACCTCCCGTTTTGCCGCAGTTTTCGATAACGATGATTTCTCGCAAGCTACGAAAGCCCTCTATGAACGGGAAGTTGCTCGCGGCGTCGGCGACAACGAAGAAATCTTCACCGGCGAAGAGGAAGTTACTACAACAGGTCCCAAACCAGCCTGGGCAAGCAAATACCGTCCTCGCAAACCCCGCTACTTCAATCGTGTCCAGATGGGATACGAATGGAACAAATACAACCAAACGCATTACGACCACGACAATCCCCCGCCCCGTGTCGTTCAGGGATACAAATTCAATATCTTCTACCCGGACCTCATCGACAAGACCAAGGCTCCTACGTACCGTATAGAGCGTGAGGGTGGACGCAAGAGGGGTCAGAGCTTTGCTCCAGCAGGAGAGGAAGATACCTGTCTTATCAGGTTCATCGCTGGGCCTCCGTATGAGGATTTGGCGTTTAGGATTGTTGATAAGGAATGGGATTACTCTGCTAAAAGAGAGAGGGGGTTCAGGAGTTCGTTTGATAAAGGGATTTTACAACTGCATTTCCAGTTGAAGAAGATTTATTACAGGAAGTAGAAAGTGCTAGATAGAGGAGGGTGTGCCTGGCATTGTGTGTATATTGCCAAGCTGTTTGTTTGCCCACGGTTATTTGCTGGCAGATGGCTTGCCCCTGAGGATTTTACATGTAGTTGGAGCTAGCGATAAATCTGTATGAATAGTGGAAACATCGGGCGTAGTTTTACGCATAAATACCAGTGTGACATCCTCCAATCGTCTTAGTTTCCCTCTCTCTCTTTAACCCCAACCGGCCACTGCAAAGCACCAGATCTCCCCCTGGCAGGTAGGTTTTCCTTTCCCACACGAGCAGTGCTTGCCGTGGGCTTTTTCCAATTCCATTATTTTCGTTTCTGTATGATACGTAGACTAATATAGGTCTAGCAACCTCAGCGTTCTGTCTAGCAATCCAAGTGCTATGATAGTGTGATATCGTAACTATCATATCCTAGGAAATAATAGGTAACAGCCCTGATTATGTCTTGGTATTCAGTACCGGTATCATATGATAAATATTATTATTATCATAATTCCACCCGCGCTTTAGTCCCTAAGGTCCAAGGTAAGCAGCCTGACTTATCATAATCCCCAGTTGCGACCCACCACACGGCCTCCACAGACAGGCCGGACTGCGATATGATAGGCTTCGCAAAGCCTAACCCAGCCTAACCCACAGCAAGCAAGCACTGGCCGGACTACACAATGTCATAAATTTATTATGATACCCGACCCAAAAACAAGAGGCGGATATACCAATCACCCACGAACCAAGCATAAATAAAAGCCTCAAAACCGATCCTCCCTCTAAAAGCAACTTTCTCGAATTTACCACCCGTCAACCTCATCACCATCTCTCACTCGCTTTATCGATCGCGGATATTTTCTCGCCACAAATAACTAACTCCCTCTACTCCCGTCGCGAAGACAGAGATATCCAATCCGCTCGAACCTAGACAGTCACTTCTACTCCGGCCCACTGACAAAACAGCCCCATAACGGCCGACCACCTCCCCCCCCCAAAAGAAAAACCCGAGAGAGTTCACCATTATCACGCATCCACGGCATTCTTGCTAATCGATTTTTATCCTAACTATAGTCCATCGCCGATCAAACGTCATCAGGCCAACTATCGCCGGGACTGTGAGGACTATTTTAGGCTGCTCCAGATAGCAATGCCAGTACGGTACACCGGAGCCACCGGCGGGGTAACGAAATCAAATAACCAAATAGCCAAATAGCCAACCAGCCAACCAACCAACATAAGGGGCACGAACCAGTACCATGCCAGACTGCCATTCGCAACGCAAGTGGCGTCCTATAACATACCGAGTGAGAGTACGTGTTTGATATGATGTGAGTGATATGACATCATGTCGGGGTTATCATCTCTCACCGTGATTAAATTGACAGGTAGTGAAGGTGAGGTGAGAGAGGGGCTCAAGGGACAGACAGGGAAAAGGGGAAAAATAGTATCCGTACAGTAGTAATATTAATAAATGGTGGGTGTAGGGTACGGAAGCGTGCCGTAGGTACAGGACACTAAGTGATTTTAAACAGCGGAGGCAGCGGCGGCGGCGGGGAGATGACCGGAACGGGCGGCTGGAGGGAGGGTCGGGTCTGTACCGTTTCCGTTGTTTGTGACGTAGTGTGATTGGTTGATGAGATGTGATGTGATATTCGACCGGGCTCGAAGATTGTTGTTATTGGGTGTCCGCTTTCCTGGTCCTTGTTTGTTTCTCTGTTTGTTTGTTTATTTGTTTACTCGATTGTTTGCGGTTGTGGAGGAGTGGGTGCGCTGATCCAACCGACCAAGGCACCATACGGTACTGCATGGGGCTGGGGCAAGAGCGGTGCGTGGCTGGGCTGCTTTTGCGCTCAGAGATCAGAACGTAGGAAGCGTTTTATGAAGTGATTCAGGATGTGATACCGGTATGGCGGCAGTAAGCGGTAACCTGGGTATGGTGTGAGGTGACTAGAACCTGTACCAATGTCGTTGCAAAATGTGACGCCTTATGTAATCAGGGTAAGAGGTAAATAGTACCAAATTTTGCCTCCACAAAGTCTCTGCTTTATGTTATGCAGGTATTTTCATTTTCATTAAATTTTACAATAAATTCATTTATTTCAAGAAAGAAACTAGCTGTAAATGTGCAGTATTATTGTATATTCTAATTAACACTATGTAGATGTTATTGTTTAATCAACTAATTATACTATATGAGTTCTACTCATATTTAACCATACAATAATGTGAAGTATACTTTCTGTATATAAGATTTTCATATTCCTTCAATCTATAAATGATACTTGATTGGTAGGCCTTCGTAATTCTCTAAGTACTGGTCCAGTATTTCCAAATTAATTATTCAAAAACTCCAGCTAAATGTACTAGTACTTGTATTCGAATTACTCCCCAATCATTATAGGATATAGTTATTCAACACGTAGCAAGTCTTATCATAGAAGTAATATGCACAATTACTTCAATATATTTCAATATAGTGATCACCTTGCAGCTGTTTCTTATTGCTTAAGAAAATACTTTATTTCTTAAGTACTCTAATAGCAACTATCATTTACTATACTTGTCATACTTTTCCAGTAAGAAAGATATATGAGGTGTGAATATAAAGTAGTATTTGTAAAAATATATGCTAGGAAATAACTTAGATGGTTACGTGAAGATCTATCTCGAAGGCCAAACCCATTACCTTATATATAGACCTTTGTACAACTGACTTACAAATCCAACTGACATATAGATTGTAGCTGCACCCTATATAACTACTTAATTCTTTGTCCTCATGATATCTACCTAAGTTATACATATAGTCTCTATGACTCCTAAACAAGTCATGTGTATGAAAACCGAGTAAGCTTTATAAGGCTTACTTCTATTCAACTAACATTCTAATATAATATAATAATTAAGACTTAAAGTCTAAGTTATGTGCGAAATCGACATGGTCTTAAAACAAGTCATACACATAAACAAAAATCATAATATCATATGACTCAAACGAGTCATTAATCAATAACATAATATTTGAAATTCTTTACGAATTATATTGAGTTTGTAACACTAGGTATTTTAAAAACTTATACTCATACTTATAATTCTCTCTTGTATACCTTTTTGCTACCCATCTGTAATACTTAATAAAATTAAGTTCATAATAGAAGACTAGATGAAAAACAATATCATGTCCAGCATCTAAAATGACTTCCTTCAATTGACTTTTCTGAGCCTAAAAGTCTGATTATACTGCTAATAATGTACAACAGGCATAATAGGATCTACCTTCTAAGTAGTGAGTATTAGGAATCATGGATATTTCAATACATAATAGGATAGAATATTGTATTAAAAACCATATCCAATTTTGTGGTCTATAATCATGTTCAGTAATAATAAACTTAAATCTTTTGAGTATTTCATTAAAAAGTATTAAAAATTATATAAAATAATTATTTAAGTGGTTAGAGTCAACAATAAATGTGTCATACTAGCTGTTAGGCAGAGACAAGGTGATAAATTTCAGAGCTGTCTAGGCTAACCAAAATTCATTTCTGTAGACAGAGATTGTCTAGGAAGGCTCAGACTTCACTCGTTTTGTTTATAACTATTAAGAGGGAAGTAAAAAATAGGTAAAGTAGAATTGAATTGTAAAGACAATATTATATTGTTAAGGTCTCTTCTCTGTTGCTTGATGATGTTTAAAGCTTGTGAGGCACTTCAATATTTATATTCCACGTCTGAGTGTTCACGGACTACATCTATTTATTATTTAACTATGTACCTCTCTGATTATAACTTGCAATATAGTGTATTTTTAAAAGGTGCGAACACTTAGAGATCCTGAAAGTCACCACACCATCTTTGGCAATTACGATATAACTAACTAAAAACTATACAGTTTTTAATAGTAGTTATCCAATCATTAGAGTCATTAGACTTATAGCCTAGTTCTCAAGTTGAACTGAGTTGGCCTCAATTGTTTCCATCATTAATAAAATGATCAGTTTCATCTGCAGGTTGCATCTGTGAATGTAGTTATAATCGCAATCTTTCTACATTACCTGACTTCAAACCTTCATACTTCCTTACCGAAACCGATAGATATCTTTCGGAGAACTTTCTACTAATTGGCAGAAAGCTATTCTACCAGATTAACAAATATTCCCTCGGTTAGCAACTCTTAGTTGCTCTGGGTAACAGGATTTCAATCGCTATTGTAATATTGGGAGTTATTATTGCAGCTATACTGTGTTCCAAAACCTAGTTGTAATACTCCATGAAGTCCATTAGCTTCTATGGTAGTATACTTCTGAGTTCTAGACTCTTCTGGTTATCGAAGAGTGGATGTGAATGTATTGGTCTCTCGTTGAGATCCTTTACCATTCGATACCATCTCTTCATATTAAAACGTCCCATTACTTATGGCTTGTATCAAAGTTGTTACATCTCTGAAGCCTAGTAACTCTCTAAGTAGTTGACAGCTTTACTCTATACCACTTTTCAGACCTAGCTGAAGGTCCCCTCTCATATAACCTACGAAGCGAATCCAGTCAGTCAGATGGCAATGTTGTATATAGTGTTATTCTGACACCTTCAATTCTGTAGTATTATAGTCACAAGACACTCCTGAGATTGAGATATATGATGACATGTGGGTCCAGTAAGGGGGCTGGAGAGGGGTGTTGGAGACCAGGGATTCTGATTCTGAGTGCAATTATTCTACTTAGGATGATTTCTAGCTATCAGATTCCAGTATTCCTAACACTAGCACATGCATTTTACATTTTGTCTACCTAAATCTAAAATCATTTCTAAAATACATCATGTATTATTTGTATACTTGAGATATAATCTTGTATTATTAAATGTAAATAGAGTTTTACAACTGGGAAATTGGACCTTAAAGCATGATATTGCTTTATTTTGTCTCTATTTTATTAGAAATTTCTGCTACATTTCAAGCTTTATCATGTACAAGACATCTCATTAGTATAAGAAAGTTAAAAACTTGTAAACTCTAACTATAACATTTTTTGTAGTAGTAGTCTATATTCTAAATAGATTTAAATATAATATTTACTATTATTAAAGTAAAATATACACTTATCTTGTATAAGAAAAATTATTAATTACAAATCTCCACCTAAATGTTTTTTGTCTATTTAAAATCTCACTC